CAAACTTGGCTCGAAATTAGAGTTTAATGTAACAACCAATTGTGCGAAAGAAATTCTTTATAGACCAATTAGTGGGCCCACAATACGCCAAAATAGGTTTTGTTGATGGCTCGAAATTAGAGTTTAATGTAACAATCAATTGTGTGAAAGAAATTTTTTATAGATCAATTAGTGGGCCCACAATGGGCCGAAATAGGTTATGCTGACTATCCGGGAGAAGGTACTTTAAGCTAAATATTCGCGGTGCATTGCGTGTAAAGCATGGCGCAGTTTTTAGCGCTGTGGGCAAGGCTGATATGTAGTCCCGGAAGTCCTGGGTACGAAACCCTGTTAGGGGCGACGATAAATTGTTTTTATTTTTTTTTATGTTGTGTTTTTTAATATACTTTTCGACAATTTAGCGTGAATCAATGTTCAATATATAGAAATAGCTATTTTTCCTTTTTAAAATATCGAATAGTAGCTAATAAATTAATTAATTTTGAATATTTTTTATTTATTTATTTATTTATTTTATTTTATGTTATTTTTTTAACATCTTTTTCAATATTTTTATGTGAATAAAGTGTTCTATATATGAAAAGAACTACTTTTCTTTGTTAAAGAGCGAATAAAGGCAGAAAAAGGTACAAAAGTCGTATCAGGAGGCTCGCACTCATCACACCCCGTTACTCCCTATAAAATTAAACTATAAATTTCAAACTAGGCTCGAAATTAGAGTTTAATGTAACAACCAATTGTGCGAAAGAAATTTTTTATAGACTAATTAGTGGGCCCACAATGGGCAAAAAAAGGTTATGTTGACTATCCGGGAGAAGGAACTTTAAGCTAAATATTCGCGGTGCTTGCGTGTAAAGTGTGGCGCAGTTTTTAGCGCTGTGGGCGAGGCTGATATGTAGTCCCGGAAATCCTGGGTACGAAACCCTGTCAGTTGCGACTTTTAATTTTTTTTTCTTTATATTATGTTTTTTGATATACTTTTCGACAATTTAACGTGAATCAATGTTCAATATATAGAAATAACTATTTTTTCCTTTATGAAATAGCGAATAGTAGCTAATAAACTGATAATAAAATTTTGATTACTTTTTATTTATTTTTTTATTTTAATTTATGTTATTTTTTTAATATCTTTTTCAATATTTTTATGTGAATAAAGTGTTCTATATATGAAAAGAATTATTTTTCTTTGTTAAAGGGCGAATAATAGCGGAAAAAGGGACAAAAGTCGTATCAGGAGGCTCGCACTCATCGCACCCCGTTGCTCCCTATAATATTAACCTATAAATTTCAAATTTGGCTCGAAATTAATGTTTAATGTAGCAACCAATTGTGCGAAAGAAATTTTTTATAGACCAATTAGTGGGCCCACAATGGGCCAAAATATGTTTTGTTGACTATCCAGGACAAGGTACTTTAAGCTAAATAATCGCGGTGCTTGCGTGTAAAGCGTGGCGCAGATGGTAGCACTGTGGGCAAGGCTGATATGTAGTCCCGGATGTCCTGGGTACGAATCCCTGTCAGGGGCGACACTGAATTTTTTTTTATTTTTTTTTAATTATGTTTTTTTATATACTTTTCGACAATTTAACGTGAATCAATGTTCTATATATGGAAGCAACTATTTTTCCTTTATGAAATAGCGAATAATAGCTAATAAACTGATACATTTTGATTATTTTTTATTTATTTATTTATTTATTTTATTTTATGTTATTTTTTTAACATCTTTTTCAATATTTTTATGTGAATAAAGTGTTCTATATATGAAAAGAATTATTTTTCTTTGTTAAAGAGCGAATAATGGCAGAAAAAGGGACAAAAGTCGTATCAGGAGGCTCGCACTCATCACACTCCGTTACTCCCTATAAAAATAACCTATAAATTTCAAAATTGGCTCGAAATTAGAGTTTAATGTAACAGCCAATTGTGTAAAAGAAATTTTTTATAGATCAAATAGTGGGCCCACAATGGGCCAAAATAGGTTCTGCTGACTATCCGGGAGAAGGTACTTTAAGCTAAATATTCGCGGTGCATTGCGTGTAAAGCGTGGCGCAGTTGGTAGCGCTGTGGGCAAGGCTGATATGTAGTCCCGGAAGTCCTGGGTACGAAACCCTGTCAGGGGCGACGATAAATTGTTTTTATTTTTTTTGATGTCATGTTTTTTAATATACTTTTCGACAATTTAGCGTGAATCAATGTTCAATATGTAGAAATAACTATTTTTCCTTTTTAAAATATCGAAGAGTAGCTTATAAACTAATAAATTTTGATTATTTTTTATTTATTTATTTATTTATTTTATTTTATGTTATTTTTTTAACTTCTTTTTCAATATTTTTATGTGAATAAAGTGTTCTATATATGAAAAGAATTATTTTTCTTTGTTAAAGAGCGAATAATAGCGGAAAAAGGGACAAAAGTCATATCAGGAGGCTCGCACTCATCACACCCCGTTACTCCCTATAATATTGACCTATAAATTTCAAATTTGGCTCAAAATTAATGTTTAATGTAACAACCAATTGTGCGAAAGAAATTTTTTATAGACCAATTAGTGGGCCCTCAATGGCCATAATAGGTTTTGTTGACTATACGGGAGAAGGCACTTTAAGCTAAATATTCGCGTTGTTGGTGTGTGAAGCGTGGCGCAGATGGTAGCACTGTGGGCAAGGCTGATATGTAGTCCCGGAAGTCCTGGGTACGATCCCTGTCAGGGGCGACGTTGAATTTTTTTATTTTTTTTTATATTATGTTTTTTAATATACTTTCCGACAATTTAGTGTGAATCAATGTTCAATATATAGAAATAACTACTTTTCCTTTTTAAAATATCGAATAGTAGCTAATAAACTAATAAATTTTGATTATTTTTTATTTATTTATTTATTTATTTTATTTTATGTTATTTTTTAAACATCTTTTTCAATATTTTTATGTGAATAAAATGTTCTATATATGAAAAGAATTATTTTTCTTTGTTAAAGAGCGAATAATGGCAGAAAAAGGGACAAAAGTCGTATCAGGAGGCTCGCACTCATCACACCTCGTTACTCCCCATAATATTAACCTATAAAGTTCAAACTTGGCTCGAAATTAGTGTTTAATGTAACAACCAATTGTGCGAAAGAAATTTTTCATAGACCAATTGGTGGGCCCACAATGGGCCAAAGTAGGTTTTGTTGACTATCCGGGAGAAGGTTCTTTAAGCTAAATATTCGCGGTGCAGATGTGTGAGGCGTGGCGCAGTTGGTAGCGCTGTGGGGAAGGCTGATATGTATTCCCGGAAATCCTGGGTACGAAACCCTGTTAGGGGTGACGTTGAATTTGTTTTATTTTCTTTATTTTTTTTTTATATTATGTTCTTTAATATACTTTTCGACAATTTAACGTGAATCAATGTTCAATATATGGAAATAACTATTTTTCCTTTATGAAATAGCGAATAGTAGATAATAAACTAATAAATTTTAATTATTTTTTAGTTATTTATTTATTTTAATTCATGTTATTTTTTTAACATCTTTTTCAATATTTTTATGTGAATAAAGTGCTCTATCTCCTCTCATCTTCGCAATGTACCTTTTGGGGCCCACTGTGACCCCCTTAATAGGCTTATAAAAATTATCTTCAGCAGCCTTGTTTGGACCATAGACCCCTACTCAGGGTTCGAGTTTGAAAAATATACCGTGATATTAAAGGGATTTTCCTGGATTTTTCCAGCTTCTTCCCAATAAAAAAATTTTTTCCTACGTGCAGGAACCTCCAGAATATCGAACAACACATAAAAAAAATTGTATAATTTAAAATAAAGAAAAAAAAGAAGGAAATTTTTCGCAAATTTGACCGTCCCTGGGATTCGAACCCAGGTCCCCTCCCTCCTGCTGCGAACTTGCTTGTGTGGTGGCCTACCTTCCAGTCCACGGTGATACGTGAAGCATACCACAGTTTCGGTTCAAAAGCTCTCTCCTCTCATCTTCGCAATATAACTTTAGGGGCCCACTGTGATCCCCCTAATTGGCCTATAAAAATTATCTTCAGCAGCCTTGTTTGGACCATAGACCCCTACTCAGGGTTCGAAAATTATACCTTGATATTAAAGGGAGCTAGGGGGTCTTGAAATTTGAACCTTTCTCGAGCCATTTTATATTTTTATTCTTTTTTTAATTATTAGAGTACGCTTTCTTTGCTGGACATCACACACAGAAAACACCCCTAGCTTGCTAGAATAACCAAAATGTTACAATAGAAGTCGAAAAAGAGCAAATAAACTGATTTTCTTGGATTTTTCCAGTTTTTTCCCATTAACCCAATAAAAAAATTTTTTTCCTTCGTGCAGGAAACTCCAGAATATGGAAAAACACATTAAAAAAATAATATAATTTAAAATAAACAAAAAAAAGGAAAATTTTTTGAAAATTTGACCGTCTCTGGGATTTGAACCCAGGGCGTGAAGCCTTCCTCAGTTTCGCTTCAAAAGCTCTCTCTTATCTCATCTTCGCAATATATCTTTAGGGGCCCTCTGTGACCCCCCTAATAGGCCTATAAAAATTATCTTCAGCAGCCTTGTTTGAACCTTTCTCGAGCCATTTTATTTTTTTATTCTTTTTTTCATTATTCCATTACGCTTTCTTTGCTGGACTTCACTCACAGAAAACACCCCATGCATGCTAGAATATCCAAAATGTTACAATAGCAGTCGAAAAAGAGCAAATAAACTGATTTTCCTGGATTCTTCCAGTTTTTCCCATTTTCCGAATAAAATGAGTATAATTGTCTCTCTCCTATTGCCAAGTTGAGTTGAGTTGTTTGCTTCCAGCTTCTAAGTTGAGTTGAGTTGATTCCCTCCTGCTGACAAGCTCAGTTGAGTTGTTTGCCTCCTGCTTCTAGGTTGAGTTGAGCTGTTTCTCTCCTGTGGCTGAGTTGAGTTTTCTACCTCCTGTTGCTGAGATGAGTTGAGCTGTTTCTCTCCTGCTGCTGAGTTGAGTTGCGCTGTTTACCTTCTGCTGCTGAGTTGAATTGAGATGATTCTCTCGTGCTGCTGAGTTGAGTTGCTTTCTTCCTGCTGCAAAGTTGAGTTGAGTGTTTTTCCTCNGACCTTCTTTAAGTTCTAGAATATCCAAAATGTTACAATAGCAGTCGAAAAAGAGCAAATAAACTGATTTTCCTGGATTCTTCCAGTTTTTCCCATTTTCCGAATAAAATGAGTATAATTGTCTTTCTCCTATTGCCAAGTTGAGTTGAGTTGTTTGCTTCCAGCTTCTAAGTTGAGTTGATTCTCTCTTGCTGACATGCTCAGTTGAGTTGTTTGCCTCCTGCTTCTAAGTTGAGTTGAGCTGTTTCTCTCCTGTGGCTGAGTTGAGTTTTTTACCTCCTGTTGCTGAGATGAGTTGAGTTGTTTCTCTCCTGCTGCTGAGTTGAGTTGCGCTGTTTACCTTCTGCTGCTGAGTTGAATTGAGATGATTCTCTCGTGCTGCTGAGTTGAGTTGCTTTCTTCCTGCTGCAAAGTTGAGTTGAGTGTTTTTCCTCCTGTTGCTGAGTTGAGATGAGTTGTTTTTCTCTTGTTTCTGATTTGAGTTGTTTTTCTCCTGCTGCCAAGTAGAGTGGAGTTGCTTGCCTCCTGTTGCTGAATTGAGTTGAGTTGTCTCTCTTCTGCTGCTGTTTAGTTGAGTTGTTTTCATCCTGCTGCCAAGTTGAGTTGAGTTGTTTGCTTCCGGCTTCTAAGTTGAGTTGAGTTGTTTCTTTCCTGCTGACAAGCTCAGTTGAGTTGTTTGCCTCCTGATTCTAAGTTGAGTTGAGTTCCTTCTCTTCTGTTCCCAAGTTGAGTTGAGTTGTTAACCTCCTGCTACTGAGTTGAGTTGAGATGGTTCTCTCCTGTTACTCGGTTGAGATGCTTTCATCCTGCTGCAAAGTTGAGATGAGTTGTTTTCCTCCTGTTGCTGAGTTGAGTTGAGTTTTTTTTCTCCTTTTGCTGAGTTGAGTTGTTTTTCTCCTGCTGTCAAATTAAGTTGAGATGTTTGCCTCCTGTTGCTGAGTTGAGTTGTCTCTCTCCTTCTGCCAAGTTTAGTTGAGTTGTTTACCTCTTGTTGCTGAGTTGAGTTGAGTTGTTTTCATCGTGCTGCCAAGTTGAGATGAGTTGTTTGCTTCCAGTTTCAAAGATGAGTTGAGTTGTTTCTCTCCTGCTGCCAAGATTAGTTGAGTTGTTTGCCTCCTGCTGCGCAGTTGATATGAGTTGAGTTGTTTTCATCCTGCTGCCAACTTGAGTTGAGTTGTTTACTTCCAGCTTCTAAGTTGAGTTGAGTTGTCTCTCTCCTACTGCCAATATGAGTTGAGTTGTTTGCCTCCAGTTTCTAAGTTGAGTTGAGTTGTTTCTCTCCTGCTGCCAAGTTGAGTGGAGTTGTTTCTCTTAGTTTAGTTGTTAACCTCCAGCTGCTAAGTTTTGTTGGGATGATTTTCTCCTGTTGCTCAGTTGAGTTGTTTTCCTCCTGTTGCTGAAATGAGTTGAGTGGTTTTTCTCCTTTTGCTGAGTTGAGTTGTTTTTCTCCTGCTGTCAAGTTAAGGTGAGTTGTATGCCTCCTGATGCTGAGTTGAGTTGAGTTATCTCTCTCCTTCTGCCAAGTTTAGTTGAGTTGTTTGCCTCCTGCTGCTGATTTGAGTTGTTTCTCTCCTGTTGCTGAGTTGAGTTGTTTTCCTCCTGTTGCTGAGTTGAGTTGTTTTTTTCCTGTTGCAGAGTTGAGTTTTGGCCTCCTGCTGCCAAATTGAGTTGAGCTCTTTGCCTCCTGCTGCCAANTCCGCTGCCAAGTCCCATCAACAGAGACTCCACACTCTTTTATTATAGATGAACTGTCATTTTTGATTCTTGAAACTTCTTTAGCAGCTGTTATCATACATTTCTCAGCAACAGTTGTTGCGGCCTTTAGTAGTTTCTCTTCATGTTTTCGAAATGCACTCTTAGAGAGAAATGATGGAAAATTCAAAATGGTACATAGTTTTTTACCAGCAGAAAATCCAGCCCCAATTAGCCGTAGACCTAGCACGAATTTCGAATTTATTTCGTTGAGCTTATTATTCTTTCTCGAAGTACAAAAACCCTTCATGAAAGAGCAGTTTTTGCATTTCAGGGTGAAATTCGAAGAGAGTCCAAATCTTGAATTTTCCTCAAGGAAAAGGTTACTAGAAGAACATATTGGACAAAGTAAAATAGAAAATACTTGAATCAATATACTAATATCAATAATTCTATTTCCCGAAATTTCATCATCTAGTATCAATTTTTTGCAATCTTCAACACAAAGTTCTTGCTTATTATGCAATTTTAGTTCACTAGCAGTTTTTTCAGCTTTCACATCTTCTGAAAGTTTCAGCTTCGACGTATTTTGATTACCGTGAAATTTACGTTTTCGCGGCTTGTAACTTCTTTCTTTACCCATACTAAAACAAATATCAATTCATAAATCAGATATAAACTTTATAAAATGTAAGAACTCAATTCTAATTCAAAAAATATATTTGAAAACACGGGGAAAAAGCAAAGACAAAATAAACAAAGTTTCACCAGAATGTCACCAGATTTGGAGTCTTATGCTTTAATAAAACTGTGCTTATAGCTTTCTTATACTAACTAATTGAGGTTTACCATCTAGAACTTAAAGTATTTAAAAACACAACCGATATTGATTAAAATGAAGCTGGAAATATGAGAAATATCAAGCTTTCGGTTTCGTTTTCTTCACTTCCGGTAGCTTCAGATGACTATCACCCTTCTTTAAAACCTTCATAACTTTTTAAATATTTGACGCAGAGAAAAAATAAGAACAGTTTTAGAAACGTATAACTGTAGGCTATATTTTAAGACAATAAAAAAAATTGTGTCATTTTGTCGAAAATTGCCTTTTCAACGTAGTCGGATACCTTATTATATAAATATTTTTATGTGTTTTTCGATATTCTGGAGGTTCTTACATGTAGGAAAAAATTTTTATTGGGAAAATGGATGAGTTGTTTACATCCTGCTGCCAAATTGAGTTGAGTTTTCTGCCTCCTGTTGCTGAGTCGAGTTGAATTATCTCTCTCCTGCTGCCAAGTTTATTTAAGTTGTTTGCTTCCTGTTGCTAAGTTGAGTTGAGTTGTTTCTCTCCTGCTGCTGAGTTGAGCTGAGATGATTTTCTCCTGCTGCTGAGTTGAGTTGCTATCATCCTGCGGCAAAGTTGAGTTGAGATGTTTTTCTCCTGCAGCCAAGTTGAGTTGAGTTGTTTGCCTCCTGTTGCTGAATTGAGTTGAATTGTTTTCATTCTGCTGCCAAGTTGAGTTGAGTTGTTTACTTCCAGCTAAGTTGAGTTGAGTTGTTTCTCTCCTGCTGCCAGGTTCAGCTGTGTTGTTTGCTTCCTGCTTCTAAGTAGAGTTGAGGTGTTTCCCTCCTGCTTTCGAGTTGAGTTGAGTTGTTAACCTCCTGCTGCTGAGTTGAGTTGAGATGATTCTCTCCTGTTGCTCAGTTCAGTTGCTTACATCCTGCTGCAAAGTTGAGTTGAGTTGTTTTCCTTCTGTTGCTGAGTTGAGTTGAGTTGTTTTTCTCCTTTTGCTGAGTTGAATTGAGTTGTTTTTCTCCTGCTGTCAAGTTAAGTTGAGTTGTTTGCTTCCTGTTGCTGAGTTGAGTTAAGTTGTGACTCTCCTTCTGCCAAGTTTAGTTGAGTTGTTTACCTCTTGTTGCTGAGTTGAGTTGAGTTGTTTTCATCATGCTGCCAAGATGAGTTGAGTTGTTTGCTTCCAGCTTCTAAGATGAGTTCAGTTGTTTCTCTCCCGCTGCCAAGTTTAGTTGAGTTGGTTGCCACCTGCTGCTGAGTTGAGTTGAGTTGAGTTGTTTCTCTCTTGCTGCTGAGTTGAGTAGAGTTTTCTCTCACCTGCTGCAGTTTAGTTGAGTTGTTTGCCTCCTGTTGCTGAGTTGAGTTGAGTTGTTTTCATCCTGCTGCCAGACTGAGTTGAGTTGTTTGCTTCCAGCTTCTAAGTCTAGTTGAGTTGTTTCTCTCCTGCTGCCAAGTACAGTTGAGTTGTTTGCCTCCGGCTTCTATGTTGAGTTGAGTTGTTTCTCTCCTGCTGCCGAGATGAGTTTTTTGCCACCTGTTGCTGAGTTGAGTTGAGTTGTCTCTCTCCTACTACCAATATGAGTTAAGTTGTTTGCCTCCTGCTTCTAAGTTGAGTTGAGTTATTTCTCTCATGCTGCCAAGTTGAGTGGAGTTGTTTCTCTTCTGCTCCCAAGAAGAGTTGAGTTGTTAACCTCCTGCTGCTGAGTTGAGATGGGATGACACTCACCTGTTGCTCAGTTGAGTTGCTGTCGTCCTGTTGCAAAGTTGAGTTTAGTTGTTTTCCTCCTGTTTCTGAGTTGAGTTGAGTTGTTTTCATCATGCTGCCAAGTTGAGTTGAGCTGTTTGCTTCCAGCTTCTAAGATGAGTTGAGTTGTTTCTCTCCCGCTGCAAAGTTTAGTTGAGTTGTTTGCCTCCTATTGCTGTGATGAGTTGTTTTTCTCCTGCTGTCAAGTTGAGTTGAGTTGTTTGCCTCGTGTTGCTGAGTTGAGTCGAGTTGTCTCGCTCCTTCTGCCAAGTTTAGTTGAGTTGTTTACCTCTTGCTGCTGAGTTGAGCTGAAATGTTTTCATCCTGCTGCCAAGTTTAGTTGAGTTGTCTGCCTCCTGTTGCGGAGTTGAGATGTTTCTCATCTGCTGCTGAGTTGAGTTGTTTGCCTCTTGTTGCTGAGATGAGTTGTTTTCATACCGCTGCCAAGTTGAGTTGAGTTGATTGCCTCCTTTTGCTGAGTTGAGTTGTTTTTCCCCTGCTGCTGAGTTTGAGTTGTTTGCCTCCTGTTGCTGTTGAGCTGTTTACTTCCAGCTTCTAAGTTGAGTTGAGTTGTTTCTCTCCTGCTGCCGAGAAGAGTTGTTTGCTTCCATTTGCTGTGCTGAGTTGAGTTGTCTCTCTCCTACTACCAATATGAGTTAAGTTGTTTGCCTCCTGCTTCTAAGTTGAGTTGAGTTGATTCTCTTCTGCTTCCAAGTTGAGTGGAGTTGTTTCTCTTCTGCTCCCAAGTAGAGTTGAGTTGTTAACCTCCTGCTGCTGAGTTGAGTTGGGATGATTCTCTCCTGTTGCCCAGTTGAGTTGCTTTCGTCCTGTAGCAAAAAGGAGTTGAGTGTTTTTCCTCCTGTTGCTGAAATGAGTTGAGTTGTTTCTCTCCTGCTGCAGTTTAGTTGAGTAGTTTGCCTCCTGTTGCTGACTTGAGTTGAGCTGTTTTCATCCTGCTGACAAGTTGAGTTGAGTTGTTTGCTTCCAGCATCTAAGTTGAGTTGAGTTGTTTCTCCCCTGTGGCTGAGTTGAGTTGTTTGCCTCTGGCTGCTGAGTTGAGTTGAGTTGTTTGTCCTCTGCTGCTGAGTTGAGTTGAGATGAATCTCTCCCGCTGCTGAGTTGAGTTGCTTTCATCCTGCAGCTAAGTTTACTTGAGGTGTTTGCCTCCTGTTGCTGAGTTGAGTTGCTTTCTCCTGCTATCAAGTCGAGTTGAATTGTTTGAAACCTGCTTCTGAGTTAAATTGAGTTGTGTCTCTCCGGTTGCCAAGTTTTGTTGAGTTGTTTGCCTCCTGTTGCTGAGTTGAGATGTTATCATGATGCTGCCAAGATGAGTTGAGATGTTTGCCTCCTGTTGCTGAGTTGAGTTGTTTTCATTCTGCTGAAAATTTGAGTTGAGTTGTTTCATTCCTGCTCCCTAGTTGAGATGAGTTGTTTGCCTTCTGCTGCTCAGTTGAGATGAGATGGGTTTCTCCTGCTGCCAGGTTGAGTTGAGTTGTTTGCGTCCCACTTTTAAGTTGAGTTGAGTTGTTTCTCTCCTGCTGGCGAGTTGAGTTGAGTTGTCTCTCTCCTACTGCCAATATGAGTTGAGTTGTTTGCCACCTGCTTCTAAGTTGAGGTGAGTTGTTTCTCTTCTGCTTCCAAGTTGACTGGAGTTGTTTCTCTTCTGCTCCCAAGTTGAGTTGAGTTGTTAACCTCCTGCTGCTGAGTTGAGTTGGGATGATTCTCTCCTGTTGCTCAGTTGAGTTGCTTTCGTCCTGTAGCAAAAAGGAGTTGAGTGTTTTTCCTCCTGTTGCTGAAATGAGTTGAGTTGTTTCTCTCCTGCTGCAGTTTAGTTGAGTAGTTTGCCTCCTGTTGCTGACTTGAGTTGAGCTGTTTTCATCCTGCTGCCAAGTTGAGTTGAGTTGTTTGCTTCCAGCATCTAAGTTGAGTTGAGTTGTTTCTCCCCTGTGGCTGAGTTGAGTTGTTTGCCTCTGGCTGCTGAGTTGAGTTGAGTTGTTTGTCCTCTGCTGCTGAGTTGAGTTGAGATGAATCTCTCCCGCTGCTGAGTTGAGTTGCTTTCCTCCTGCAGCTAAGTTTACTTGAGGTGTTTGCCTCCTGTTGCTGAGTTGAGTTGCTTTCTCCTGCTATCAAGTCGAGTTGAGTTGTTTGAAACCTGCTTCTGAGTTAAATTGAGTTGTGTCTCTCCGGTTGCCAAGTTTAGTTGAGTTGTATGCCTCCTGTTGCTGAGGTGAGATGTTATCATGATGCTGCCAAGATGAGTGGAGTTATTTGCTTCCAGCTTCTAAGTTGAGTTGAGTTGTTTCTCACCTGCTGCCAAGTTTGCATGAGTTGTTTGCCTCCTGCTGAAGAGTGGAGTTGCTTTCATCCTGCTGCCAAGTTGAGTTGTTTGCATCCTGCTTCTAAGTTGAGTTGAGTTGTTTCTCTCCTGCTGCCAAGTCGAGTTGTTTATCTCCTGTTGCTGAGAGAAGTTGTTTTACTCCTGCTGCAAAGTTGAGTTGAGCTGTTTGCCTCCTGTTGCTGAGTTGAGTTGTTTTCATCCTGCTGACATTTTGAGATGAGTTGTTTCATTCCTGCTCCCATGTGGAGATGAGTTGTTTGCCTTCTGCTGCTGAGTTGAGATGAGATGATTTTCTCCTCCTGCTGAATTGAGTTGTTTGCCTCCTGTTGCTCATGTGAGCTGTTTACAACCTGCTGCAAAGTTGATTTGAGTTGTTTTCCTCCCGGTGCTGAAAAGAGTTGAGCTGTTCCTCACCTGTTGCTGAGTTGAGTTGTTTTTCACCTGCTGCCAAGTTGAGTTGAGTTGATTTCCTAATGCTGCTGAGTTTAATTGTTTGCTTCCTGTTGCTGAGATGAGTTGTTTTCATCCTGCTGCCAATTTGAGTTGAGTTGCTAGCCTCCTGTTGCTGAGTTCAGTTGAGTAGTCTCTCTCTTGCTGCCAAGTATAGTTGAGTTGTTTACCTCCTTTTGCAGAATTGAGATGAGTTGTTTCTCTCCTACTGCAGAGTTTAGTTGTTTGCCTCATGTTGCTGAGTTGAGTTGAGTTATTTTCATCATGCTCCCAAGTTCAGTTGAGTTGTTTGCCTCCTGCTTCTAAGTGGAGTCGAATTGTTTCTCTCCTGCTGCCAATATTAGTTGATTTGTTTGCCTCCTGCTTCTAAGTTAAGTTTAGTTGTTCCTCTCCAGCTGCCAATATGAGTTGAGTTGTTTTCCTCCTATTGCTGAGATGAGTTGTTTTCATCCAGCTGCAAAGTTGAGATTAGTTGTTCCTTTTGTTGCTGAGTTGAATTGAGTTGTTTCTCTGCTGCTGCTGCGTTGAGTTGTTCGAATCCTGTTGTTGAGTTGAGTTGTTTTTGTCCTGCTGCCAAGTTGAGTTGAGTTGTTTCTCTGCTGCTGCCAAGATGAGTTGAATTGCTTGCCTCCTGCTGCTGAGTTGAGTTGTTTGCTTCCTGTTGCTAAGTTGAGTTGTTTGCTTCCAGCTGCCAAATTGAGTTGAGTTGTTTCTGTGCTGCACCCTAGCTGAGTTGAGTTGTTTGCCTTCTGCTTCTAAGTTGAGTTGAGATGATTCTCTCCTGCTGCTGAATTGAGTTTTTGCCTCCTGTTCCTCAGTTGAGTTGTTATCATCCTGCTGAAAAGTTGAGATGAGTTGTTTTCCTCTTGTTTCTGAGTTGAGTTGAGTTGTTTTTCTCCTTTTTCTGAGTTGAGTTGATTTTCTCCTGCTGTCAAGTTGAGTTGAGTTGTTTGCCACCTGCTGCTGTGCTGAATTGAGTTGTCTCTCTCCTTTTGCCAGGTTTAGTTGAGTTGCTTCTCTCCTGCTGCTGAGTTGAGTTGTTTGTATCCTGTTTATGAGTTGAGATGTCCCTCTTCTGCTGACAAGTTTAGTTGAGTTGTTTGCCTCCTGTTGCTGAGTTGAGTTGGGTTGTTTCTTTCCTGCTGCTGAGTTGAGTTGTTTGCCTCCTGTTGCTCAGATGAGTTGTTTTCATACCACTGCCAAGTTGAGTTGAGTTGATTGCCTCCTTTTGCTGAGTTGTTTTTACCCTGCTGCTGAGTTTGAGTTGTTTGCTTCCTGTTGCTGTTGAGTTGAGCTGTTTACTTCCAGCTTCTAAGTTGAGTTGAGTTGTTTCTCTCCTGCTGAAGAGTTGAGTTGTTTGCCCCCATTTGCTCTGCTGACTTGAGTTGTCACCCTCCTACTACCAATATGAGTTAAGTTGTTTGCCTCCTGCTTCTAAGTTGAGTTGAGTTGATTCTCTTCTGTTCCCAAGTTGAATTGAGTTGTTAACCTCCTGCTGCTGAGTTGAGCTGAGATGATTCTCTCCTGTTGCTCAGTTGAGTTGCTTTCATCCTGTTGCAAAGTTGAGTTGAGTTTTTTTCCTTCTGTTGCTGAAATGAGTCGAGTTGTTTTTTCCTTTTGCTGAGTTGAGTTGTTTTTCTCCAGCTGTAAAGTTTAGTTGAGTTGTTTGCCTCCTGTTGCTGAGTTGATTCGAGTTGCCTCTCTCCTTCTGCAAAGTTTAGTTGAGTTGTTTACCTCTTGCTGCTGAGTTGAGTTGAGTTGTTTTCATCCTGCTGCCAAGTTGAGTTGAGTTGTTTCTCTCCCGCTGCAAAGTTGAGTTGTTTGCCTCCTGTTTCTGAGTTGAGTTGTTTTTCGCCTGCTGCTGAGTTGAGTTGTTTGCCTCTTGTTGCTGAGTTGAGTTGCTTTCTCCTGCTATCAAGTCGAGTTGAGTTGTTTGCCTACTGCTGCTGAGAAGAGTTGAGTTGAGTTGTGTCTCTCCTGCTGCCAAGTTAGGAAGAGTTATTTGCCTCGTGCTGATGAGTAGAGTTGCTTTCATCCTGCTCCCAAGTAGAGTTGTTTGCCTCCCGCTTCTAAGTTGAGTTGAGTTGTTTCTCTCCTGCTGCCAAGTCGAGTTGTTTGCATCCTGCTTCTAAGTTGAGATGAGTTGTTTCTCTGCTGCTGCCACGTCGAGTTGTTTATCTCCTGTTGCTGAGATGAGTTGTTTTCATCCTGCTGCAAAGTTGAGTTGAGTTGTTTGCCTCCTGTTGCTGAGTTGTGTTATTTTCATCCTGCTGACAATTTGAGTTGAGTTATTTCATTCCTGCTCCCTAGTTGAGATGAATTTTTTGCCTTCTGCTGCTGAGTTGAGATGAGATGATTTTCTCCTGCTGTTGAATTGAGTTGCTTGCCTCCTGTTGCTCATGCGAGTTGTTTTCATCCTGCTGCAAAGTTGAGTTGAGTTGTTTTCCACCTGGTGCTGAAATGAGTTGAGTCGTTCTTCTCCTGTTGCTTAGTTGAGATGTTTTTCACCTGCTGCCAAGTTGAGTTGAATTGATTTCCTCCTGCTGCAGAGTTGAATTGTTTTCCTCCTGTTGCTGAGATGAGTTGAGTTGTTCTTCTCCTGTTGCTGAGTTCAGTTGTTTTCTAGCGCTGCCAAGTTTAGTTGAGCTGCTCACCTCTTGCTGCTGAGTTGAGTTGAGTTGTTTTCCTCATGCTGCCAAGTTGAGTTGAGTTGTTTGCTTCCAGCTTCTAAATGAGTTGAGTTGTTTCTCTCCTGCTATAAAGTCGAGTTGAGTTGTTTGCCTCCTGCTTCTGAGTTAAGTAGAGTTGTGTCTCTCCGGTTGCCAAGTTTAGTTGAGTTGTTTGCCTCCTGTTGCTGAGTTGAGATGTTATCATGATGCTGCCAAGATGAGTGGAGTTGTTTGCTTCCTGCTTTTAAGTTGAGTTGAGTTGTTTCTCTCCTGCTGCCAAGTCGAGTTGTTTATCTCCTGTTGCTGAGAGAAGTTGTTTTCATCCTGCTGCAAAGTTGAGTTGAGTTGTTTTCCAACTGGTGCTGAAATGAGTTGAGTTGTTCTTCTCCTGTTGCTTAGTTGAGTTGTTTTTCACCTACTGCCAAGTTGAGTTGAATTGATTTCCTCCTGCTGCTGAGTTGAATTGTTTTCCTCCTGTTGCTGAGATGAGTTGAGCTGTTCTTCTCCTGTTGCTTAGTTGAGTTATTTTTCACCTCCTTTCAAGTTGAGTTGAAATGATTTCCTCTTGCTGCTGAGTTGAATTGTTTCCCTCCTGTTGCTGAGATGAGTTGTTTTCATCCAGCTACCAATTTGAGTTGAGTTGTTTGCCTCCTGTTGCTGAGATGAGTTGTTTTCATCCTGCTGCAAAGTTGAGTTGAGTTGCTTTCATCCTGCTGCAAAGTTGAGATGAGTTGTTTTCCTTCTGTTGCTGAGTTGTGTTGAGTTGTTTTTCTCTTGTTTCTGAGGAGAGTTGTTTTTCTGCAGCTGCCAAGTTGAGTTGAGTTGCTTGCCTCCTGTTGCTGAATTGAGTTGAGTTTTCACTCTCCTGCTGTTGTTTAGTTGAGTTGTTTGCCTCCTGTTGCTGAGTTGAGCTGAAATGTTTTCATCCTGCTGCCAAGTTGAGTTGAGTTGTTTGCTTCCAGCTTCTAAGTTGAGTTGAGTCCTGTTGCTCAGCTGAGTTGCTTTCGTCCTGTTGCAAAGTTGAGTTGAGTTGTTTTCCTCCTGTTGCTGAAATGAGTTGAGATGTATTTCTCCTTTTGCTGAGTTGAGATGTCTTTCTACTGCTGTCAATTTGAGTTGAGTTGTTTGCCTCCTGTTGCTGAAATGAGTTGAGATGTATTTCTCCTTTTGCTGAGTTGAGATGTCTTTCTCCTGCTGTCAATTTAAGTTGAGTTGTTTACCTCTTGTTGCTGAGTTGAGTTGTTTTCATTATGCTTCCAAGTTGAGTTTTTGCCTCCTGCGGCCAAGTTGAGTTGAGTTATTTGCCTCCTGCTGTTGAGTGGAGTTGTTTTAATCCAGCTGCCAAGTTGAGCTCTTTGCCTCCTGTTTTTGAGTTCAGTTGAGTTGCTTCTCTCCTGCTGCTGAGTTGAGTTGTTTGCCTCCTGTTGCAGAGTTGAGTTGAGTTGTCCCTCTTCTGCTGACAAGTTTAGTAGAGTTGTTTGCCTCCGGTTGCTGAGTTGAGTTGGGTTGTTTCTCACCTGCTGCTTTGAGTTGTTTGCCTCCTGTTGCTGAGTTGAGTTGAGTTGTCTCTCTTCTGATGCCATGTTTAGTTGAGTTGTCAGCCTCCTGCTGCTGAGTTGAAATGTTTCTCATCTGCTGCTGAGTTTGAGTTGTTTGCCTCCTGTTGCTATTGAGTTGAGCTGTTTACTTCCATCTTCTAAGCTGAGTTGAGTTGTTCCTCTCCTGCTGCCGAGAAGAGTTGTTTGCACGGACCCTAAGTAGGGGTCTATGGTTCAAGCAAGGCTGCTGAAGATAACTTATGTAGGCCAATTAGGGCGGTCACAGTGGACCCCTTAAGGTACATTGCGAAGATGAGAGGAGAGAGCTTTAGAAGCGAAACTGTGGTAGACTTCACGTATCACCGGGGACAGGAAGGTAGGCCACCAGACAAGCAAGTTCGCTGCAGGAGAGATGGGTTCTTGGTTCGAATCACAGGGACGGTCAAATTTTCTAAAAGTTCTCTCTTTTTTTTAATTATACTATTTTTTATGTGTTTTTCGATATCACTGGAGATTCCTGCATGTAGGAAAAAAATTTTTATTGGAAAAATGGGGAAAAATGGAAAAATCAGTTATTTGCTCTTTTTCGACTTCTTTTTTAACATTTTGGATATTATAGCATGCTTGTGGTGTTTTCTGAGTGTAAAGTCCAGCAAAGAAAGCGTAATGGAATAATAAAAAAAGAATAAAAAAATAAAATGGCTCGAGAAAGGTTCAAATTTCAGGACCCCCTAGCTCCCTCCAATATCAAGATATAATTTTTAAACACGGACCCTAAGTAGGGGTCTATAGTCCAAGGAAGACTGTTGAAGATAATTTTTATAGGGTAATTAGGGGGATCACAGTGGACCCCTAAAGTTATATTGCGAAGATGAGAGTAGAAAGCTTTAGAAGCGAAACTGTGGTAGGCTTCACGTATCACCGTGGACTGGAAGGTAGGCTACCAGAAAAGCAAGTTCGCTGGAGGAGGGATGGGTCCTGGGTTCGAATCCCAGGGACCGTCAAATTTTCGAAAAATTTTCTTTTTTTTATTTATTTTAAATTAGATAAATTTTTTTATATGTTTTTCGATATTCTGGAGGTTCCTGCATGTAGGAATTTTTTTTTAGGAAAAAGGATGAGTTGTTTTCCTCATGCTGCCAAGTTTAGTTGAGTTGTTTCTCTCCTGCTGCCAAGTCGAGTTGTCTATCTCCTGTTGCTCAGTACAGTTGTTTGCCTTCTGCTGCTGAATTGAGTTGAGATGATTCTCTCCCTCTGCTGAGTTGAGTTGATTTCATCCTGCTGCAAAGTTGTGTTGAGTTGTCTTCCTCCTGTTGCTCAGTTGAGTTGAGTTGTTTTTCTCATTTTGCTAAGATGAGTTGTTTTTCTCCTGCTGTCAAGTTAAGATGAGTTGTTTGACTCCTGTTGCTGAGTTGAGTTGAGTTGTCTCTCTCCTTCTGCCAAGTTTAGTTGAGTTGTTTACCTCTTGTTGCTGAGTTGAGTTGAGTTGTTTTCTTTATGCTGCCTAGTTGAGTTGAGTTGTTTGCTTCCAGCTTCTAAGATGAATTGGGATGAATCCCTCCCGCTGCCAAGTTTCTGAGTTGAGTTGTTTTTCTCCTGCTGTCAGGTTGAGTTGTTTGCCTCCTGCTGCCAAGTTGAATTGGATTGTTGCTAGGCAACCAGACAAGCAAGTTCGCTGCAGGAGGGATGGCGCCTGGGTTCGAATCCCAGGGACGGTTCTCTTTTTTTTAAAATTATATTATTTTTTATGTGTTTTCGATATTCTGGAGGTTCCTGCATGTAGGAAAAAAATTTTTATTGGAAAAATGGGATAAAAATGGAAAAATCAGTTTATTTGCTCTTTTTCGACTTCTTTTGTAACATTTTGGATATTCTAGCATTCCTGGGGTGTTTTCTGAGTGTAAAGTCCAGCAAAGAAAGCGTAATGGAATAATAAAAAAAAGAATAAAAAAATAAAATGGCTCGAGAAAGGTTCAAATTTCAAGACCCCCTAGCTCCCTCTAATATAAAGATATAATTTTTAAACTCGGACCCTAAGTAGTGGTCTATAGTCCAAGCAAGACTGCTGAAGATAATTTTTATAGGGTATTTAGGGGGGTCACAGAGGACCCCTAAAGGTATATTGCGAAGATGAGTGGAAAGAGCTTTAGAAGCGAAACTGTGGTAGGCTTCACATATCACCGTGGACTGGAAGGTAGGCTACCAGACAAGCAAGTTCTGAATTGAGTTTTTGCCTCCTGTTGCTCAGTTGAGTTTTTTTCATCCTGCTGAAAAGTTGAGTTCAGTTGTTTTCCTCTTGTTTCTGAGTTGAGTTGAGATATATTTCTCCTTTTGCTGAGTTGAGATGTTTTTCTCCTGCTGTCAATTTGAGTTGAGTTGTTTGTCTCCTGTTGCTGAGTTGAGTTGTCTCTCTCCTTCTGCCAAGTTTAGTTGGGTTGTTTACCTCTTGTTGCTGAGTTGAGTTGTTTTCATTATGCTTCCAAGTTGAGTTTTTGCCTCCTGCGGCCAAGTTGAGTTGAGTTAATTGCCTTCTGCTGTTGAGTGGAGTTGTTTTAATCCAGCTGCCAAGTTGAGCTCTTTGCCTCCTGTTTTTGCGTTCAGTTGAGTTGCTTCTCTCCTGCTGCTTAGTTGAGTAGTTTGCCTCCTGTTGCAGAGTTGAGTTGAGTTGTCCCTCTTCTGCTGACAAGTTTAGTAGAGTTGTTTGCCTCCTGTTGCTGAGTTGAGTTGGGTTGTTTCTCACCTGCTGCTGCGTTGAGTTGTTTGCCTCCTGTTGCTGAGTTGAGTTGAGTTGTCTCTCTTCTGATGCCATGTTCAGTTGAGTTGTCTGCCTCCTGTTGCGGAGTTGAGATGTTTCTCATCTGCTGCTGAGTTGAGTTGTTTGCCTCTTGTTGCTGAGATGAGTTGTTTTCATACCGCTGCCAAGTTGAGTTGAGTTGATTTCCTCCTTTTGCTGAGTTGAGTTGTTTTCCCCCTGCTGCTGAGTTTGAGTTGTTTGCCTCCTGTTGCTGTTGAGCTGTTTACTTCCAGCTTCTAAGTTGAGTTGAGTTGCTTCTCTCCTGCTGCCGAGAAGTGTTGTTTGCTTCCATTTGCTGTGCTGAGTTGAGTTGTCTCTCTCCTACTACCAATATGAGTTAAGTTGTTTGCCACCTGCTTCTAAGTTGAGTTGAGTTGTTTCTCTTCTGTTCCCAAGTTGAGTTGAGTTGTTAACCTCCTGCTGCTTAGTTGAGTTGAGATGATTTTCTCCTGTTGATCAGTTGAGTTGCTTTCGTCCTGTTGCATAGTTGAGTAGAGTTGTTTTCCTCCTGTTGATGTAATGAGTTGAGTTGTTTTTCTCCTTTTGCTGAGTTGAGTTGTTTTTCTCCTGCTGTCAAGTTGAGTTGAGTTGTTTGCCTCGTGTTGCTGAGTTGAGTTGAGTTGTCTCTTTCCTTCTGCCAAGTTTAGTTGAGTTGTTTACCTCTTGCTGCTGAGTATAGTTGAGTTGTTTTCATCATGCTGCCAAGTTGAGTTGAGTTGTTTGCTTCCAGCTTCTAAGATGAGTTGAGTTGTTTATCTTCCGCTGCAAAGTTTAGTTGTGTTGTTTGCCTCCTCCTGCTGAGTTGAGTTAAGTTGAGTTGAGTTGTTTCTCTCTTGCTACTGAGTTGAGTTTTTTGCCTCCAGTTGCTGAGTTGAGTTGTTTTTCGCCTGCTGCTGAGTTGAGTTGTTTTCCTCCTGCTGCTGAGTGGAGTTGCTTTCATCCTGCTCCCAAGTTGAGTTGTTTTTCTCCTGCTGTCAAGTTGAGTTGAGTTGTTTGCCTCGTGTTGCTGAGTTGAGTCGAGTTGTCTCTCTCCTTCTGCCAAGTTTAGTTGAGTTGTTTACCTCTTGCTGCTGAGTATAGTTGAGTTGTTTTCATCATGCTGCCAAGTTGAGTTGAGTTGTTTGCTTCCAGCTTCTAAGATGAGTTGAGTTGTTTATCTTCCGCTGCAAAGTTTAGTTGTGTTGTTTGCCTCCTCCTGCTGAGTTGAGTTAAGTTGAGTTGAGTTGTTTCTCTCTTGCTACTGAGTTGAGTTTTTTGCCTCCAGTTGCTGAGTTGAGTTGTTTTTCGCCTGCTGCTGAGTTGAGTTGTTTTCCTCCTGCTGCTGAGTGGAGTTGCTTTCATCCTGCTCCCAAGTTGAGTTGTTTATCTCCTGTTACTGAGATGAGTTGAGTTGTCCCTCTTCTGATGACAAGTTTAGTTGAGTTGTTTGCCTCCTGTTGCTGAGTTGAGTTGTTTTTCACCTGCTGCCAAGTTGAGTTGAGTTGATTTCCTCCTGCTGCTGAGTTTAATTGTTTGCTTCCTGTTGCTGAGATGAGTTGTTTTCATCCTGCTGCCAATTTGAGTTGAGTTGCTAGCCTCCTGTTGCTGAGTTCAGTTGAGTTGTCTCTCTCTTGCTGCCAAGTATAGTTGAGTTGTTTACCTCCTTTTGCAGAATTGAGATGAGTCGTTTCTCTCCTACTGCAGAGTTTAGTTGTTTGCCTCATGTTGCTGAGTTGAGTTGAGTTATTTTCATCATGCTCCCAAGTTCAGTTGAGTTGTTTGCCTCCTGCTTCTAAGTTGAGTCGAATTGTTTCTCTCCTGCTGCCAATATTAGTTGATTTGTTTGCCTATTGCTTCTAAGTTAAGTTTAGTTGTTCCTCTCCCGCTGCCAAAATGAGTTGAGTTGTTTTCCTCCTATTACTGAGATGAGTTGTTTTCATCCAGCTGCAAAGTTGAGATTAGTTGTTTGCCTTTTGTAGCTGAGTTGAATTGAGTTGTTTCTCTGCTGCTGCTGCGTTGAGTTGTTTGAATCCTGTTGTTGAGTAGAGTTGTTTTTATCCTGCTGCCAAGTTGAGTTGAGTTGTTTCTCTGCTGCTGCCAAGATGAGTTGAATTGCTTGCCTCTTGCTGCTGAGTTGAGTTGTTTGCTTCCTGTTGCTAAGTTGAGTTGTTTGCTTCCAGCTGCCAAATTGATTTGAGTTGTTTCTGTGCTGCACCCTAGCTGAGTTGAGTTGTTTGCCTTCTGCTTCTAAGTTGAGTTGAGATGATTCTCT